GTGTTAAAACTCGACTGGCATACTCAACGATTCCATCACCTTGTCGTAGGACCGCACCTATGGCGTAGTCACTGGCATCTGTGCACACTGTAAACTGTCTTCCAGGTACCGGTAGTTTTAGCGTCATTTGTTGGTGGTCGAACAGGTGTTTAATTCTGTCAAATGTCCTCTGCGATTCTTCCGACCAAACAAACTTCGGCTCACCTAGTAGCCTGTATAGAGGGGCTGCTATCTCATTGAAGTTCTTCACGAATCGACTATAAAACGCCGCCCTACCCAAGAATTGCCTCAATTTCCTCTTTGAATTCGGGGCTGGAATTGTTTTAATCGTCAAAATTTTCTCCGGTAGTGGTTTAATCTCACCATTTCCCACTTTCTGTCCCAAAAGAGTTACATTCTTTTTGGCTATCTGAGACTTGGTTTTGTTGACGCGCAGTCCAAACTCTTCGATGCGTCGCAGCACGGCTTCTACATGCTTCACATGATCGTTTTCGTTTTGACTGTATATCACGAGATCATCACCATACACTTCCACGTTTTTCAAGTTCCTAAGTAATAGCGTCATCAGTCTTCTGAAGGTAAACGGTGCACCTGCTAGTCCAAACGGCATGCGTTTAAATCGATATTGTGTCTGGCACACGCTGAATGCCGTTTTATCTCTATCACCTGGTTTTATCGGTATCTGCCAGTACCCTGAGCGAAGATCGAAAACGGAAAACACATTCGCGCCCTGTAGGCGGTCTAAAGTTTCCACCACTGTTGGCATGGCACACGGTTTTAACTCTGTCATACTGTTTAATTGTCGAAAGTCAACACAGAATCTATACTTCCCATTCGCTTTCCTTACTAACAGCACTGGAGAGTTGTACGGGCTATCAGCTTCTTCAATAATATCGTCTTTTAACATCTCTTGCACTTGTCGCTTCACTTCGCCTTCCAGATGACATGGTATTCTTCGCGATGTAAATGACATTACTTTTGGATTAGTTAACGGAATTTCATGATTCACCTTGTCGCAATAACCGTATGGATCGCCATCTCCAGTGAACGGATGATCGTATTTCTTAATTAAATCTGTCATGTTGTATACCGTCGACAGGTTCACCGCTCCTATCTCGCTGGTCTCATACATTTTGATACGCCCGTATTTCGTGACCACCACTTTCGCTTGCGTGTCAATTATCGCACCAATCTCCCGCAGAAAATCCGCTCCTAATATCGTTCGCTGTAGTTCGGGCACAACAATGAAAGGAAACGTCACCTCGCACCCTCCAACAACAATCGTACAGTTCGACCTACCCGTTATACGCAACACATGCCCGCCTACTGTTTGTACTGTTAACGAACACGGACTAACGCTCTTACATAAATTCTTATCTATCAACGACACGGCCGCTCCTGTATCTACTAAGCATACTACTTCTCGATCATTTACTCGCAACTTCGAATACATAGCCCCTTTCTCAATCGCCCCCACTAAGTCTAGGTTCATACGAAAGAAAGAACAAGCATTATACCGTCTGAAATTTTTCCTTTTCTGTCTTTCTGGGCAGTCTCTTCTCCAGTGTCCTGGCTTGCCGCATTCAAAACATCGGTTTTTTCTATTACCCAACTTTAACGCCGCCACTTCCCGCTGCAATGCTTCAATTTGCTGCTCATATTCATTTGGTTTCCGCTGCTCTATAGCGGCTACAGTCGTGCTCAGCAGCTGTCTGGTCACCTTCGCTAGCTCACTAATATCCATCGGTTGCGTTGCGTTAACCAGTTTTAACTGCTGAGAAATGTGGTCTGGTACACTCTCGATGAATTGGGAAGATAGTAACTGCTCTTCTGATTCTTTATCCAACGTGGGAAGCGCCCGTCGAAGTAAATTCGTCAAGTTCACCGCCAATACTAACGGGTCTCCATCAGGTCCCAGCCTCGTTGATCGGAACTGCTGCATCGCTAGCTGTCTGTCTGTTGCGCTGTCGAACTCCGACACCAAATTTTCAACCAATCTCTTCCAAGACACTGTGCCGTTTGACCGGTCTACACTGTCATATGCCGCCTTCGCTCGGCCTCTCAACAGCGTCCCCAGAACAACTGCCTTCGCCGCCTGCTCCTTGATCCCCACCAACTCAGTTACGGCTTCGAAATCACGTAGGAAGCTCCGTATGTCTCCCTCCTCAAACGCAGCTGGCCACGGGATCTTCATTTTTCCGGAGGCAGCGACACCAAATGTAACAACAGAAAACAAGGCTGGCAACAGATCAGTTTTATTACGAAAACCAACAGGTATTTATATGTATTTTACGTACATTAATAGGCTTATGCCCGCAGAAAGAAGGCGGTCTTCTGATTGGTTGTTTGCAAACAAACGCAGTCTTCTGCTTTCTCGTTTTCGATATTTCTCGGAAATGCGAGCCACTTGTCTGCGAATCATATTTGTCCACGTCTAGGTCAGCTGTGATCGGTCGTTGAATCAGCCTAGATTAATTTCTACCAATCAGCGTAGATCAATGTCTACCAATTGGCTAGCAGCTTACTCTCACCACATGCTAAAACCTGCTCTGACGATTTTGTCTAGTGGGATGATAAAAGCTTCGCAATTAAATCAACCAGCTCAGAGAACACAACTAATTTAACAACAATGATTAATTTGCTACTTTCCTCTGCCTGAAATATTCATAAACAGGATTTTTTTCTGAAGGTCCAGTTTTGGTTGAAGAAATTTATCCGTAATGTTGAGTAGAGTTTGGATAAAAATAATTAACTACTTAATACTTTGTACATTTCGAAAAGTTATTTAATCTTTGCGAATCAGTATGTCTGACATTCGATATTTGAAGATAATCAGTAAAAGGTACTTATATTTTAATTGAATTTTAGATTTTTCCCGTCGATTGATTGGACCGAAGTGCTCGGTCTAAGGTTGACATGTCGGCTTCGTGTGCAGATACTTCGACGATGTCTGGGCATTTATTTAGTATTTAATTAGTGGATGGTGACTAGCAGTGGAATCCAGCATGCGCGTTTCGTCCTATTTAGAACTCGTCATCTGGATGTACCTGCATTTCTCAGTGAGTGATGATGTTCCCACCGAGGATCGAACCCAGTGCCCATAGTTTCAAACGCCAAAGCGTTATCCACTAGACCATTTGGGCCACGAGAGCCACCTCCAGCTGACGAATCCCAAATAGGACGAAATGCGCATCCTGGATTCCACTGCTAGTCACCATCCACCAATTAAAGGTACTTATAGCCTCTGTTCCTTGTGTATTTGAACTCGTCAGTTAGGTGCACCTAAATTTCTTACTATTATTATTTTATTCTTTTACGTTCCCAGTGGAACATAAGACTTCAAGCTACAGCTTCGAAGTTTCGGTAGCAAAGGGTCGGGTTGTTAGCCTCATGTCCAACCTTCCCTCTTACCTGGTCTTATTACCGGCTTAGTGAGGTTAAGGAGTGCGTAGGCAGGGCATCGAACCCCAAACCACATGCGTAGTTGGTGAGTATTCTACCGCTAAGCCACCGAAGTACCGCTGTACCTACAGTGTGTCAGTAAACTGAACATACATCGCTTGGAACTTCAGATAAAGATTTTATTACTATTTGATTACCAAGTGAAATTCTGAATCGTATCATCCTGGAGAGCATAAAGGACGCACTGGATACAGAACTCCGACCAGAACAAGCTGGATTCAGGAAAGGCAAATCATGTTCTGACCAAATTGCAACTCTACGCATCATCATCGAACAAAGCATGGAATGGCAATCAAACCTCTACCTCAACTTTATAGACTTTGAGAAGGCCTTCGACAGCGTTGACGGCGAAGTAATTTGGAAACTACTCAAATACTACGGCATACCCCAAATATTCATCAACCTTATTCAACAGCTGTACGACAACGGCAAATGTCAAGTGGTCCACAGCGGGAAACTCAGCGAGGCGTTTGGAGTAAACACAGGAGTCAGACAAGGATGCTTATTATCACCAATGATATTCCTAAAGGTGGTGGACTGGGTTATGCGTCAGACAGTAGGAAACAAGAAGACAGGGATATCCTGGACCGACGTGAAGAATCTAGAAGACCTGGATTTCGCGCGTGGATGATTTATGTTTGATGTCACACAAAATCGAAGACTTACAAGCGAAAACCGACAAACTGGTCGAAGAAGCAGCAAAGACAGGACTCCAGGTGAACATAGACAAGACGGAGGTTATGAAAATAACCAACCAACTACAACAGCAGCAGCAGCAACATGCAGCGCCAATCGCCATCAACGGGAGGGATTTGAAAGAGGTTACTTCATTCACTTATCTAGGGAGCATTGTCTCAACTACAGGAGGAACGGACGAGGATGTCAAATCGAGAATCGGGAAGGCGAGAAACACATTCATCAACCTGAAACCAATCTGGAAATCTTCGTCACTCAACTCAGAATCAACAACAAAATTCGGATTTTCAATACAAACGTCGAGTCAGTCAGTTCTTCTATACGGATCAGAAACTTGGCGGTGGGTCACAAAGAATATTTCCAACAGGTTGCAGACATTTATCAACAACTGTCTTCGTTCTGCACTGAAGATCAGATGGCCGGAAAGAACAAGAACCAACAAGAAACTATGGGAACAAACAAAACAAGAACCAATCGCTCAACAAATATGCAGGAGAAAGTGGAGATGGATTGGACACTCGCTGAGGAAGCCGCTGGGTGATATCGCCCATCAGGCCATAGCTCGAGTGGAACCCGAAAGGGAAGCGGCGATTGGGACGTCCAAGGGTGACATGGAGGAGATCATGTGGAGAAGAGTTGAAATAGTATGGACTAACATGGATGCAGGTGGAAAGTACAGCAGAAGACAGAAGCAAGTGGAGACGTGCAGTTGAAGCCCTATGTTCCCCTAGGAACCCAAGGGAATAATATTAATAATAATGATAATTACATTTGATAATAATAATAATGTTATTATTATAATTTTTACTCAATATTCATTGTACTTTTCTTTTATTCTCTAGTTTAAAGCTAACGATCCAGATGATGGGATAAATGCTAAAATTAAATATTCATTAACAGAATTATCACAAACAAAATTATACAATGAAAATGAAAGTTCATCAACTTGTAAAACTTTAAGTTTTAAATCTTTAAAACATCAAAATACATCTTGTAATCTTTTACAATATCTCTACTTAAATCAATCATCTGGAAGTTTAACTTTAATTAAACAATTACCATTGAATTTATTAAATACAACATGTCGTCTACGTGTTGAAGCATCAGATATGGGTATAATCCCATTACAAACAACACGTTTCTTTTGTTTACATATAATGACTACAAATGATTTAAAACAAGTGAAATGGATGTCATACACAAAACAGTATAGACACTCGATAATGTATGTTTATATTATAGTAGCTGTAATTAGTATAGGCTTAATTATATCATTAATATTCGTATGTATAGCATTTACTATATGGAAATATCCTAAACTGGAGATGAATCGAACTGTTATAAAAGAATCTACTTCTTATAATGATAGTCATCAAATATCGAGAATTCTTTGTGTCACTGAAAAATCTAACACATCTACTAATGAAGGTATGTTTTTAAGAATTTTCTCTTACATTTTATTATGATTATTTCGTTTATAGCATAAAATATTACATGAGCTTTAATGACACAAGACAGATTTCTTAATTTATAGTACTAAAGATCATAATTGAGGTTAACAATACACCCAGATTTGCGGACCGGAGACACTTTATTTACAGCTGCAACAAATAAACTATACGAATTAACGTTGACGGTTTTTCAGTGTTCCTTTGGTTCGTAAGAATATCTATTGCAGATTACTGCTTTCTCTGAAGTAATGGAACACGATAAGTGATGAATACACTGAATTTTAAGTTTTCAGATGTTGTGATTTGTCGAAATTTGACTGATATAAGGTAGAACTGATTACCAACCGACATTAGTTAGGGAACCATTGTAAATCACACAGTACTGTACATCTGTTTATTTCTAATGTGGGACTCTTCAGTAGTACGCGTTCATGATCACACTAGGTATCGAACACAGGACCTTCAGATTACGAGACCCACGAATTCTAACCTCTGCTAATTCAAAATATACGGCACGATGTTGGTTCACGTTGAAGTCTAACAAGAAACTTGAATGCTGTTTCAACTATACCAGGTTTTATATTTGAAATGACAAATCTCTAATTCGTTCATCAAATGAAAACCACTTAATTGAATCCAGTCAGTATTAAAGCTTTCTATCAATTTTTTCTTATATTACGAAAAACTCTGGAATGACAAGAATAACTAAAATGATATTGAAACTGGGCTGAATTCAATGAAATCTAGATGAAGCCTTTAGCTACTGCTAGGCGATGATGGCCTTTATTTAATTTCTTCCACTATACTACATATCAGATAATGTCAAATTATGTAAAGAAGAACACGTATTATGCTTCAATAACTTAAGTTCCGAGTGGTATTATGTTTCGGAGACCAAAATGTTGATCAAGTCTGGTTCTCTTGAACAGATTATTTAACGATAAAGATATTCATTAAGGCATTAATCTTACAGTGTGCTTCTACTAACTGGGACTTTAAATCTGATTGGAAGCATTTCGCCACCAGATCAGATAGCTTCATCAGCACTTATTTTATTTTTACGAGTTGATCACGGATTGATATCAGTTAGAGAACCATTGAAAACCAGGGAGTGCTGGACAGCTGTTTCATCCTAGTTTGGGAATCATCGGCAGTACGCACCCACCGCCAGGGTTCGAACCTAGGACCTCCCGGTTACAAGGCAAGCTCGTATGCCATTCAGCCACTGGGACCCGATTCAATGGCCCATGAATTATAACTTCTACCAATTCGTGATTTAGAGCGACCCCAACCAATGTCGCCGGTGGGACATCCATCCTCACACTTGACTGGATGGACCTCACTGATCACGACTTCTCACTAGAACTCCAGGAAACTCTGTCCTGTAGAATTCATGGGCCATTGAATCGGGTCCCAGTGGCTGAATGGCATACGAGCTTGCCTTGTAACCGGGAGGTCCTGGGTTCGAACCCTGGCGGTGGGTGCGTACTGCCGATGATTCCCAAACTAGGATGAAACAGCTGTCCAGCACTCCCTGGCTTTCAATGGTTCTCTAACTGATATCAATCCGTGATCAACTCGTAAAAACAAAACTAATCCTTACAAACCAACTATAGAAAACTTATTTTATTACTATTTTAAGAAACAGAGGAAAGGGATGGATAGTGACAGTGCTTATTAATCTATTTACACTGACATATACAATGTGGTCACAAAATCGCTCAGCTCAACATCACAAAAGCTAATTTACAGGAATAGAACTGAAGAATTTTCGTAGCTGGAAATAAGCCCAGTGATAGGTTTTCCATTTGACAACCGTGTCGTTTTATTTGTAATTCATCAGCAGATAAATAAGACAAATAAAAGTTGTGACCATATGAAATTTGCTTTAAAAAGAAGCCCGTATACTAGCTGAATCCCGTCAGTTCAATCAAATGAGGTGAAACAAAGGGAAGTCACGAAATTCAATAATAATAATAAGAGTAAAGTTAATTTGCATATAGAAATTAATAAAGAACAGGCTTAGTAAAAATGACTTCATTCAGTTAATTAGTAGATCTTACGTCGCCCTAGTGCACCAACTAGGAGGTTAGTCACCATACACATACTACAAAAGATTAAAAAGTGGTTTTTTCTGTGGAAGAAGTTACTTTACTGAATTCCAGTTTACTACTGATTGCTCAGCTTCTTGTCTGACGAAAGTCTTACTAAAAAGCGTGACATATAAGAGTGACATCAGCTTATGATAATTTTCAATTAGAGACGTCATAATAATTGTTCGAAACTCTTAATCCATAAAACTAGCTACGTTACAAAAATTTTACTACATTTCGTGTCTACAAATTAAGGAGGAAAATACTGCTTCGCCATTTAAACATAATATTACAACTAAACATGCAAATGATGGATTACCTATGACATTGAAGACTTCTATAAAGAAGACAAACAATCTCTACTGCAGATAGATACCGATTAGGGAACCGTTGAAAATCAGAAATCACACCGTAGATTATTCTCCCGTCATGACTATTTAGCAATATTGAGGTTAGGCGTCGAGTCCTAGGTAAGGCGGGGAAATCAGTCGACGAGACTGTGAAATTACATCGACTGAGATGGTTGGGACATGTGTTACCTATGCCTAGTCATCGCCTTCCTCGCCGGGAAATGTTAGCTGATATAGGGCCAGGCTGGAAAAGAGCTAGCGGCGGTCAAATTAAAACACGGCACCAGTCAATGAAATCTACAACAGTCAGTCGAAGCCACGTAGGAAGATGTAGACTTCCTGGTTGGGGTCCTCGGGACGGTAAAAACCAATGGTTGGAAACGATTGGTGACATGGCCCAAAATCGTTCTCAGTGGAGCAGATGCATCCACTCCTTGTGACTTATGATTTCCAATGAAACTGTTTTGTTCTTCGTTATTACTATTCTTTTGTCTCACACCTCTGTTTACTGTCTCTAATATGCATTTCTCCTACTTTCTTCTCTTGCTTTGTGTGCTACATGGAGTATGGCGACTTGAACTACCGCACATATGTGCAAAGTTCTATGTCGAAAACCGACCGACCATGACTATTTTATAATAACAAATGCTGTCTCGACATACAATCTAAAGCTGTAGCATTTAAGAAAATGCTAATTTCAATCAAAGTTGACAACTTCTATCCCATTGACAGCTGAATGACATTTAAGCCCTCAAATAATTAGTTATACCGTCATCCGAGACCGCTTGATTAGCACTAACAGTTACCATCTTTCATTACACCTTAAAAATGGCAATTTTATTTTCCAGATTTATGAATTTCGGACTAGTTAGAATCAGTCATTTATAACTATTATTATTATTATTTATTTTCACAGAGATATACCATACCGTTGTATGCACAGAAAATGAATGGGCTAATATCAATCCACAATCCGCTGAAGCTAACCAATCCCAATATTTAAACAAAGATAATTATTATCACTACTTCGCCGAAAGTCAATATCCTAGAAACCGACAAATTTTTGAATCTTTTCAACAAAATAAAAATCCTTCATCAGAACAGTTATTTAATGAATTAAATGTATGTGTTAATGCAAATTATCCGTTATCTTATTCATCGCTACCTCAACAAGGGAAAATTTTGTTCTACGATTCAGTGTAAAGAAAACTGTGTATTTACTTATTGTGTCAATTATTGAGAACGACTTGTATCCAATTACAGAGAGACAGAAACAGAAACTAATTGGGAAAAACATTGTACAGTGTTTTTATGTTTCACGGGGAATTTCACATTCGGATATTATCTCCATAATATTTTCTCCCTTTTTGATCTTAAAATTATTATGGTTTCAAGTTTCGTCTTCATTCTCAAATGATACTATATTCATCTTGTAGTACACTGTCTTCCGAAGAAACAAATAAATTTTAAAACAATTGAAAAATCAATGAATAGGTAGTCGCTTTATTTGTGAACCGTACAAATCCTATCAGATCAGAGGAATGCCTATTCAGGAGAATTCCAACAGTATCGACGACTGGAGTGTCAGTTTCTTCTTCTTTTTTTCCTCCACGTTCCCAGTGGAACATAGGGCTTCAAGCTAGAGGCTTGAAGTTTCTGTAGCAGTGTTTTACTTTTACAGGATGAGGTTGCTAGCCTCATGCCCAATCTTTCCCCTTTACCAGCTTTTTTTATTACTGGTTTGGCGAGGTAAAGGAGTGAGTCGGTCAGGGATCGAACCCCAGACTATGTGCATGGTCGGCGAGTGTCCTAACCACTGTGCCACCGACGCACAAGAGTGTCAGTTTAGTGACTAACAATTTGCATACAGAATCCTATATCATGAAGACAGACAAGAATGATTCATATAAATAAATAGAAACATGGATTTCGGTGCTAAAACATAAAATACGACTCAGTATAACTAAGAAATTAAAACTTAAGACCTCAAATTATATAGTATTCGAAGCTTCCAGTAGCAAGCATCATTTTGAATCCGTTCAAATATCATAACGCTGTCTACTTGTTAGTGGTGGACGGTAGGTAACTCAGCCTAAAACTCATGTTAGAATCTCACGCTTATAGGTGAAGTCATACTGCTGATAGTACTCAAATATAGTAACAATGAGGCGTGCCATACAGCAGGCCAGCATTTCATCATCAACTGGGCGTTTTGTTTTATACAGAATATCTGTTTCCTTCCAAGTGCACCATATAACTTTCTCCCTTAGCACAGCAGAAAAGTATCAAATTTCTGCAACATTTTTATCCGAGATACTTTTCATCATTATCATCCACACTTATAATTATCACTACCTCTTTACTGTTCCCATCATAAGCATTAAGCCCTTGATCTTTAAATGCATATTCTATAATTGTTGCTAAAGTCATTGAATCAAATATCTTTTGTAGTCGGCGTTATTGAATAAACACTGACGCTTTTAACGTCGGTATCTCAAATCGAATTTGGAAACAAAGTTTCAATAGACGAAACTGAAAACTCTGGATTAGGATATTTTTGCTTTTGAAAATACATAAAATTTTAAAACATGATGTGATTTATGCAGAATAATGAGTTCGTATAACTCACCAAGGCCAGCAAAAATAAAGATAATTTCAATTTTAAGGGGAATATATGTCTCGCAATCACTACTGAGTTGTTCGATTCGTACTTAGAACAAGTATCGTAAAGGCTAGCACACGTTTTTGTAGCCTCAGTACACTAACGCAGTGATTAATATCTGAAGACAACACTTTGTAATTTATGTCAACCATCTAAGTTAATCCACTTTTAGGAACTCAAGAAGAATTTGAATGAATTAAGCCATCTCTAGGCCAATAAAAAATATAACTATCTGTAACCTAAACTGACCCTAAGAACATCTGGGAGATGAAACTGTCTACGCAAAATACAGAACCACAAGTAGCATATACTGGCCGAATTTCCCAAACTCGAAATACAACATTGTATTCCGAAATAATAGAGAAGATTTGTAGCTCAGGTGGATGATTTGTAATTAATAGTGTTCTCTGAGCTGGTTGGTTTAGTTGCGAAGCTTTCGTCGCTCTTCTGGACAACATCTTCAGCGCCATATTTAGCACAAAGTGAAATGATTTAAATTTTTTTTAAATCATTTCACTTTGTGCTAAATATGGCGCTGAAGATGTTGTCCAGAAGAGCGACGAAAGCTTCGCAACTAAACCAACCAGCTCAGAGAACACTATTAATTGCAAACATTGTATTCCGTTGTGTGGTAATATAAACCTTTGAGTGAAGTATCTGATAAACGAATCACATTACTTAGTGTTTTTTGTTCAGTTGAATAAATGCAACTGTTTGAAATTTCATGAAGTAAGCTTTTGATGACAAATGGTGTTAGTTTCTACCTTGATTGCCTGACTTCGACAGTATTAATTGTCCAATATAAAACACCTTGGGCAAAGATTTTACGAAATACTCTTCTGCATAAAAAGTTATTGATAAGCCAACAGCATGTAGAAAAATAAAGTTCAGTTAGATACACAACCGCTTTAAGAGATGAAAAAGACTTTTTGAAGATATTTAATTAAATCTCCATATCGACATAATATAAAATAATTTCCGATTGCACACTAGTCAGTAACTAGTGCAATGTGTCTAGTCCTATCTTCGCTGCAGACTGAATTCTATCAGTCAAGCTTGCAATGTGGCGTCGTCATTACGGTGCACCCTAGTCAGTAATTAGTGTGCAATCAAAAATATCGAATACAGTCCTACAGGAGGTCAATCGCGAACCCGAATAGCTCAGTGGGGTAACGTCTCTGACTGCAGCACTGGGTGACGCGGGTTCGAATCTCAGAAGAGACATGAGTCCCTTCGAGGTTGCAGATACGCCTTGCTGATGAGTGCCAACTAGCCTTCCTGTCGATTGCCTCCAACCATCTAATACCAAAAATAATTTCCACCGACTGATCTTCGCCAATATTAAGTCCGAAGATAAGGGATGAAATCGATGTTGAATGTAAATATACTTCATTCAATCCAACTTAATGTCATCTAATTTAGTTTCATCCAAGTTCATCTGAGTCTCCTGTTGACTGATTTATATTGGATAGAAATATTCGATCTGTGGTTGAAATGTAGGCTTCTAGTACAGATCACGTTTGATAGTTAACGGGTCCCGAATAGGAAGACATTCACATTTTGGATTCCAGTGTTAGACACTATCAACCAAAACGACAACATTCAGTCCTACTTCAAATCGTGTTCAGCTGTACATTTCTCCATTGTCATTAACTTGAAAGAATGGATGCGTTCAGTCATATTTTATTTAAATCGATCAACACTAATGTCAGGTAACATAAAAACCAGCTTTTATCATCAAACTGGTTGAAATTAGTTAGAAAGTGTATTACTTTAACAAATCTTTATTGTAATCAGCTGATCATCCAGCATGGTTAAGCAAGGGACAAACAAGATGTATTCGTAGCTCTGTTTTAGCACACCTTGTAGATACTGAGCATAAGGTTGATGTAAATACAGCATTTAAAATTATCTATCGCATTCCTACTTATCTTAATTTTGCTCTAAGAGTTCGTCTTCTACAGACAGCTGAAGCAACAGGAATCCACCTGAAGAAGCCAAACCTGTGTGTTCAGAAGAAATTTGTGCAGCCACTTTCCTTGCCTTGGCCATCGTTACATGAATGTGTAAACCGGACTACTTCACCCCCCTCCCCCTAAACCTTTAAAATTATAAAAATTATAATTGTCCAAATTATTTTATTTTTATTTTGACCACTTCATCTATAATTACGTGTTATCCTTGTTAAATTAATTTATTCTAACCATTTCTACCTTTTGAATGTGTGTTGATTTTCTTGGTTTATTATCAACCCATTGACATTGTGACACTGACTAATTATTGTTAACAAAATTATCGCCACTTGATTGGTAAACTGTTGTGTATTGTAATAAAAATGCTATATATATTAGAGCAGAGCCAGAGATGATGATCTAATTGAAAATTAAATATTTCTTCGCCCAATCTTTCTGTTTTCTAAATACAAAAAAATCTCATCCTCTTTGAAGCAACATTGAATGAGAAATGAAAGATATTCAAATTAAATAGCTTCCTGTCGGACATTAGTCAGTGGTCCAAACTAAATGGTCTCATGCTGAATCCCTCAAAATGCCAGACTGTTGACTTCTCCCTTAGACATAAACGAGATCTACAAACACTAGTAAGTTCTCATGAAAACTGTTGCATTGAGGGGACTAAAATTGAAACTAAGTCTAATGCTAAATACCTCGGTCTAGTTCTATCTTCCGACCTTACTTGGACATCTCATATCCTAATGATTTCTAAGAAAGTGTTCTGTCTAACCTAACCTGACATTAAGAAACTTAGACAATCTGGAATCACCCAACCTCTACTTTCACAATTTGTCAACTCTTGTATCTTACCTATTCTACTTTACTGCTCCCCGTTAGTCTTTCCTGGTCCACTGAAAAAGGACTATACCATCCTGAGAAGGATGTTGAAGTTAGTTAGTAGGACTAGTGGTGTAATTCTCAGTCAGCTTGTCACTACTTTAGTTGATAGGCATCTGAATACATGCGAAAAATGGTCAAAAACCATACTCTCCGACCCCCAGCACCCCCTCTATTCCCAACTCTCTCCTTGTATCTCATCAAGTATAACCAGAAATCAGTATAAAATAATTTATGCTCTTATAACCAAGTACAGGAACTCAACGATACCATATTTGGCCCGTGTTCTAAGTGACAGAGACAATGTTAAGTGCGAAACCTATGACTTGCTTTGTTGTTAATAACATAATTTTAGGCTCTTTTACTTCTCTCTTATTTTGTATTCTTTAGTGAACTCCTTCTTAAATACACTTGGCTACCTAAAATATTAACATTGGCTTCCTTTTTTGCACTTTACTATATTCCTTCTATTGTGCATCCACTGGTTCCGACTCTATTAGCACTATGAGTATTACAAAATTGTCCTGTCATTAACCATCATGTAATTATTAGTTTTGTGGTTGTTTTTTCTTATTTCCTATACTTTTCGGCAATATTAAACTGACAATCATTGGTTGTGAACGCCATAGTCACCACCTTAAAAAAAAATTGTATTATTCAGGATTACTCACACTACCACCACAAACACTGCATTAGACCTTGGTAGACTTTGGTACTTTCTCGCATTTATAATTATTTTGTGTTTATCCTATTTCTTTTTTGCTGTTGGTGTCTTCAGATTTATTTTTTTGTTTGTTTAATACTTACTTTAAATGTCGGTAAAATTAGATGCAAATAGTGTAGATATTGTGCTGAAAATTCCACACTGTACCACTAGTACTGTTTCTGGAATAAAGCAAATTATTATTATTACTATATTATGAAGCAAAAATTATTATATTAAATGATGATGCTAATTTTTGTTACAAAAATGCGAAAATCAAGACTTTCTCAGTAGAGTATAAGAAAGAGGGGAAAATCTCACAATTTGTACAGTTAATATATATTGATTGACCAGATATACAAAATTTGAAAATGATAGAATACTTCAAATATTGACTTCATGAGTACATTTCATGACGCAGACGACGGGCTGTGATACCTGTTGTACCTCCCAAGATCTCACGTTGAATTTTTCTTCGATTATACCACAGATGTAAGTTTTCTCGAGCCTGATAATCGAAATCGAATATACTCGGTTCAACTTGACATATACGATGATACACAAAGCATAAGTCTCGAAATTCTGACATTGTCAACTGAAAAATTAGAAGAAAATTAAGACAAATCACAGTGGGAAAAAAGCCAATCTACTTCCAGCTTGATTATAAAGGTGAAAACATTGCAGCGATGATCAACAGAAGGCTGAGTACATCACTAGCCATAGCCTATCCTGCAGCTAAGCTCGTTCCTGTCTATCGAACAACTTGCTCTTTGGTGCAATCAAAAATCGATAGATATCCTTCTCATGTTAACTCCAACTGTATATACAAATTTACGTGTATCTGCGGGAGCAGTTACATTGGAAGGACAAAAAGAAGGGCATATCTACGATTTTCTGAACATGTACCAAAAAGCTTACGTCTAAAGGGAACAAATGCTTTAAACAGTGCCATTGCCAGGCATCTCCTCGACACGGGTCATGAGGTGGACGTCGAAAAGTCGTTCAAAATTATCAATAGGCAAAAGAGCTCAATTCTCCTTAAGTTTGCTGAAGCCATTTCCATCAAGCGCCTGAAACCTGATTTATGCGTCCAGAAAGAAGCGGTTATTAGTCTTTCTTTACCCTGGTAACTGGATATTTTTCATCTCTCTTTCATCCGAATGCGAAATGCTGATATGTTTCCATTGTGTATATATAATTAGTGTATGCGTATATTGATCGATTGATTTTTGTTAAAAATGAACTCTGTGCAAGTATGTTAAAATTGTTTTTGTAGATATATTTAATAATGTCTTTGCCCTGTAAGCAGCTGACGAGAAGGCAACGAAATAAAAGATGGTACCATTTAATTCTGCTAAAACTGTAGTTCTTGCTTTGTTCAAATTGAAAGTGTCTATATAATCAGTGTGATATAATAAAGCAGTCTTTTAAATTAAATTCTTGCAGATACATTAATAAATACCCAACCGTTTCTACTCACTTGCTAGTCATATATTTAAAAATTTAAATGTGGTGGGAAAAATCTACGCAAAAGAGATGGAGACATTAAAAAAAACCAATTTAGTAAACCAACCCAACTCATCAGCTAACCTGTGTGGGTTGTTTGGCCGGCTGTACTCCAGCTTCCTTGAATAACTGAATAACTAATTCAGGTCGATTAGAAGGAAACAGTGTCTCAAGACAGCGGACAATTTGTTTTTGTCTAAAATAAATTCAAATATAAAAGATGCAGACATTAATTGAAAATCAAACACAATTAGTATGTGTAATCGTGAATTCATCAATTTAAAATTTTGCAATAATTTATAAAGCCACCAGTTTTTGGTCTGAATAATGTAGACAGTCAAACGCTTTCATGCTGTGTGCCTGAAGGTATCCTCATAGTGGCGGAAAATCTGTTCCGGATAACTGTATATGGTTCATTTAGGCTCAGTGATGTTTTTATCACTGATATAGTCAATAAAAAGAATACTACTTGGTTACACAGTAATATTTTAACTCAAAGAATTCATTGTAAAATGGACGAAAGGTAATAATAATTAAGAAATAAAATAGATGTTTTTCAAATTCATCATTGATGGTGATCGATTTTCTCCCGATTGGACTCACTTATTTGTGGTTCAAACTACATATAGATTTAGAGTGTTTAATTTTTAAGCGATAATTCTTTGAATAGAGTATCTGAAAATTAGTGACTTACGTAATTTGCAAATACGTACTTAAATGAACTGAATAATTCGGTCAAAGATATATATGAAAAGTTCCTGTGCATCCACAAAAATAATCAATTTTTCCTCTCTATGATGACTAACGCGTTTTCGAAAGTTAAAACTATTTGCTGCAAATAACTCACTAAGCTAACATTGAAGAGCTTTTTTCTATCATCTATAGAGTACCAAATAAATTACGAAAGGCCTTTCGATATCGAACACTGAGAACCGCAAAGGCTATTGCAATTCGTCTAAAACAGCAGAAGCTTTACGTGTAAAAGAAACAGGTCCAGACACTATTGTTACCTAGCCTGCTGAGGAACCTATCTGTTTTCGACATAGAACTTTGCACATATGTGCGGCAGTTCAAGTCGTCACACTCCATGTAGCACACAAAGCAAGAGAAGAAAGTAGGAGAAATGCATATTAGAGACAGTAAACAGAGGTGTGAGACAAATGAATAGTAATAACGAAGAACAAAACAGTTTCATTGGAAATCATAAGTCACAAGGAGTGGATGCATCTGCGCCATTGAGAACGATTTTGAGCCATATCACCAATTGTTTCCAACCATTGGTTTTTACCGTCCCGAGGACCCCAACCAGGAAGTCTACACCTTCCTACGTGGCTTAAACTAACTGTTGTGGATTTCATTGACTGGTGCCATGTTTTGGTTTGACCACCGCTAGCTCTTTTCCAGCCTGACCCTATGTCAGCTAACATTGCCCGTCGAGGAAGGCGATGACTAGGCATAGGTAACACATTTCCTAACCATCTTATTCGATGTAACTTCACAACCTCGTCTATTGATTTCCCCTCCTTACCTAGCACCTATCAATCCATAAATTCTGTATTACTTTGTTCAATTTATCTGATATTCATTTTAGAGTTATACTGATACACATTATCACTTACAGATGCTTTTGAACTGTGGTCTATAGGTATTATGACTCAATATTATTTATAACATTAATAACAATAATTCTTTATTTATTATGGTCATATAACTGAAGAACCTGGTGAACCAGTTATTGAAAAAAATATATATTTTGTTCACTAATCAATCTTTTGAAATTTTTAATGCGCATCTTTAATTAATTGTCCCTTAGATTGAGTTCTTCACAGAGTTCCATAATGAATAATAAATAATTCAGTATGGAATTAAGAATTGTCATAATCTTCAAATCTTTATAGAGAAACGAAGATGAATTGTGACGTAATTGCAACTTTTATCTATAAATATAATTTATTGATAAGAAATTAGTGTCCTGTTGACCACAGACGTTCGCATTCTATCTCGTCTTTTATAGTTCAATTCATATAAACATCTGTTCCTAGTCAGCACTAACTTTAGGCGCAAAGAGAGACATTGCGTAACCTGGCGACGTCTGTCACCAAATCATCGTTGGACTCAAATAGACCATATAGCGATAGGATATCGGTGGCGAGGGTCAGTGAAGACTGCCGCTCCGAACGTGGACTCCAATCACACCCCGGTTCTTGCTTACGACTAAACGGACATAAAAAATTTTTGGCAGCGAAGCAGTTACTCCTCCAATTAGATCGAGACACTGAGTCCCTATTTAAGGAACAAGTAGCGAAACGAGTATGTGAGGTCGACAGCAAGACTCCTCCTGAGGAAGCCTGGCACAGTATATAATTGGCTGCAGATACAACTATAAAAGCTGTTAATAACATAAAACCAAAAGTTAGTAAGAGTAGTGGATTTCTACCATCTCATCCGAACTGATTAAGGCAGGAAGACTGATTCCGAATATGATGAGGAGCGAAAGCTGCTCAAACGCAAACTAACAAGAAGCCTTGGTAACGACCGTGAACAGTGGTGGACAACAAAAGCGAAAGAGATGGAAAAGGCATCGGCGATTGGTAGCACCAGACAACTATTTAGACTTATCAGGGAAACAGATGGCAAAAAAACAAATGATAAGTGTAACAATCTCTGAGAAAAATGGCACCATAATCACCTCCCAGGATAGACCACTAGAACGCTGGAAAGAACACTTTGAGGAGCAGTTTAATTGACCTACAGCCACAATAAACCTACCAAACATCCAACACCTCCCTGAATGGGATACAGACACAGGTCCTCCGTCCCTAACTGAGGTTACTAAGGCTGTCACTAGTCTGAAACGAGGCAGAGCAGCGGGACCTGATGGAATGACTCCAGAAGTATTTAAGTACGGTGGGAACAGTTTACTATCTGCGTTAACTAAGGTACTAGGGAGCGTCTAGGAATCAGAGAAAGTCCCGTCGGGTTGGTGTTAGTCATTGATTATCCCGATATACAAGAGGGGAGACAAGTCTTCCCGTGATAATCACAGGGGGATTAGCTTGACTAATATGGTATCTAAAGTTCTAGGCTCAATAATAATGCGTAGACTAAGTGGTGCTCGGCAGGAACAAACACGAGAGAACCAGGGAGGCTTTAGACCAGGAAGAGGGTGTAATGAACATATCTTCACAGTTCGACAGATTCTGGTCATAGGCATACTTACCGTCGGCGTCCAACAATCGTTAAATTTATTGAACTAAAGGTGGCATTCGATTCTGTCGACCGAGAGGTACTCTGGCGATACTTGGCTATAAAGGGAATGCCGAGAAAATACATTGCACTGATCAAGGTACTCTACTGGAACTCATGCAGCTAGATACGAGCTTACGGCCAGTTGTCATCTGAACTGGTGACAACTAGTGGTGTCTGTCAGGGGTGCCCACTATCCCCATTTCCATTTATTTTCGTCATAGATGTACTAATGGACTTAATCCTAACTCACTTCAGAGACTCACAGATTGACTTGTTACCATCACGGAATAATCTCGTTGACTTAGAATATGCACATGATATAGTCCTCCCATCTGGGTGAAGATGCTGACAAATGCAGAGTCTTCTGAACGCCTTAAACTACAATCTGCGAATGCTTGGTATGCGAATCGCTCTCGCCAAATGTAAGATGATGCTACAGGACTGGACTACATTGACTCCTAGCTTAAAAATAGGGAGTGAAGTGGTGATTGAGCGTGTTGACCACTTCACTTATTTGGGAGGTTGCATCAGCCAACGCCAACGGGTCGACCGCCGACGAAATCTCAGCACGGATACAGAAGGCTAGTTTCACATATGCCAGTTTACGCCGTCTCTGGCGTAGACGTGATATCCAGCTGGCTACTGATCAAAGGCCGTGTGTACTGCTCATCAGTCCGCTCCATCCTCCTTTATGGCAGTGAGTGAAACCTGGCCATTGAGAGTGGAAGACATGAAAAGACTAGCTAGCTGTCTTTGATCATAGGTGTCTGCGTTCTATCTCCCGTGTGAAATGGTATATTAGGGTAAGCAATATTGAGGTTAGGCTTCGGTCGAGTGCTAGGTAAGGAGGGGAAATCAATAGACGAGGTTGTGAAGTTACATCGAATAAGATGGTTAGGAAATGTGTTGCACATGCCTAGCCATCTATCGCCTTCCTCGACGGGCAATGTTGCTGACATAGGACGAGGTTGAAAAAGAGCTAGTGGTGGTCAAACCAAAAACACGACTTCATCAGTCAATGAAATCCACAACAGTTAGTTCAAGCCAGTCAGGCACGTAGGAAGGTGTAGACTGTCAGCTTGGTTGGAGTCCTCAGGATGGAAAAAACCAATGGCTGGAGACAATTGGTGATATGGCTCAAAATCGTTCTCAGTGGTGCAGATGCATTCACTCTTTGTGAATTTTCATATCCGATAAAACTCTATTGTTCTTCCATATTACTATTCCTTTTGTCTCATATCCCTGTCTACTGTCTCTATTCTGCATTTCTTCTCTGGCTTTGTGTGCTACATGGAGTGTGGCGACTTGAACTGCTGGGCTTCTGTGTAAAGTTATACATCGAAAATCTGTCACTCAGTCAAGGAGAGTCTTGACTTCTAATTGTTGAAAAAGTAAAAAATGAAAGTGCGTAGTGACTTTAAGTTTGTAAATAGTCACAAGACTCAGTATACCACGAAAATATAGCTTGTCTTAATTAGTGGAAATGTTTCACTGACAAAAACAAGGGTGACAAACTTAATATATCTTCAACAATTCGGAAGAAAGGTATCTAACCACAAAAAAAACGAAAATCCTAAGTGATTTGATAAAGGGTGATTGCATGTAAAACATAAGAAGAAAAACTCAACAACATTATTACCTGAAATGAAATGCTTGGCGTACCAATTTGTTAACATATGGATACGGTATAGGAATGAGAGGTTGTTGTAAAGGAGTCAAACGTACAATACCAGCATCCACCTTTGGTACAGGTAAAAAAGCAGTGCCAGGAATATCTTTTATGTACTCAACCTATTACATTTTGTGTAGAACAAGAAGAAAACAAGAAAATTAAGCAGATAACGTAATCAGTAAACAAACAGGATTTTTGCAGCACAAATAAAAACAAATGAAGTGTTGACCTTTGTCCACGCTTAACTATGTGACGAGTTTGATCTACGCCTCACCTACAAATGTTTTGCTAGCCATGTAGTAGTACAAGCATTAACATAAGGTAAGGCTTATCGCCAAATAGATGTAGATGTATGCAGTTGTTGAACAACAGTTCGTTTTTCAAATAATAATTCATAATGGCTGGAGACAATAGGTGACATGGCTCAAAATCGTTGTCAATGGCTTACGCAGATGTATTCAGTCTCTGTAATCTCTCATATTCCTTTCTACCATTACCCATTCTGTTTCACTCTTATACCTGTCAAACTCTATTGATTCTCTTCACTCATTTTCTTGTCTACCTTTGTGTGCTCTTTCGAACGTGGCAACTCGAACTGCTGCACTTCGGTGCCAAGTTCTATGTTGAATCCAGCCAGCCAGCCAACTCATGATACTGCTGCTTTATCCTTCAGTATAATTTTCCAGTATCCATTTCATAACTAACAACATCGTTAAATTGGGGTTAAACCATGGAGTCATCGAATAGTGGGACAATGGTTAAGAAGCACCTAAAGCTGATTCCCTTGTCTTAGTTTTTGGTTTTTAATCAAATGACTTCAGCTTATAATAATAATAATAACTTTCGCCTTAGCCTCAACCGTGAAGCAAATCGGGTATTTTTTGTGTAAAGCCAAAGCCGAATTATATTTCACTTTAGCGAGGACAAAAGTGTGCGTTTTTTATACAAGAAACTCACATTTCCGGAGTGAATAATTCGAAACTTCATTTAACCATACTCAGTACTAAACTTGGAGGGCTATAGCATTCAAAACTTTGACTCAGGAAATACATGATGATAAAAACCAGATTATGATAAAAATTATTGGAGAAAGATTTTTTCAAACCCAAAAAATTCTTACATTGCAGTAAGCTTGAGACATAATTGACAAGCGAGAACGCTGTGTATCCCATACGTCTGCGGCAAGTCGTTCAGCAACTTCTTTTTGGAAAGTCAATATTAAGGGGACTCTTCCATACCTCCAAATTCCTCGTCTTTCTGAAATATCATGCAGCCACTGACATACGAGAGGAGTGGAAATATTGAATGGCAAATTTCCAATTACACAAATTCTTGGTGAATTTGTAATTTCTAAAGCTGTGATGTTTTGGTTTTCTGGGACACGTACTTGATTGTGTACAGCTTTCAACTCGGAAAAATCGTCCCAAGCCCCAGCACCACGCATAGGAGTCGTAGGGAAAACGCCTTCACAATTGAATCTCATAATATCCTAAGAACGACAACAGATTGAAAAGACAATTACAAAGTAAAGTGACTAGTTACTTTTTAAGACAATCCCAATATTTAAGTTTTACTTTGATTCCAAACAAGTTTACCTAGAGGAATACAAAAGCTACGTAAAAACCGCATAACCCTGTAGTAATGTCTGTCTGTTTTCAACATGGAACTTTGCACCGATGTGCAGCAGTTCAAGTTGCCACACTCCATGTAGCACACAAAGCCAGAGAAGAAATGCAGAATAGAGACAGTAGACAGGGATATGAGACAAAAGGAATAGTAATATGGAAGAACAATAGAGTTTTATCGGATATGATAAATCACAAAGAGTGAATGCATCTGCACCACTGAGAACGATTTTGAGCCATATCACCAATTGTCTCCAGCCATTGGTTTTTTCCATCCTGAGGACTCCAACCAAGCTGACAGTCTACACCTTCCTACGTGCCTGCTGACTTGAACTAACTGTTGTGGATTTCATTGACTGATGAAGTCGTGTTTTTGTTTGACCACCACTAGCTCTTTTTCAACCTGGTCCTATGTCAGCAACATTGCCCGTCGAGGAAGGCGATAGATGGCTAGGCATGTGCAACACATTTCCTAACCATCTTATTCGATGTAACTTCACAACCTCGTCTATTGATTTCCCCTCCTTACCTAGCACTCGACCGAAGCCTAACCTCAATATTGCTTACCCTAATATACCATTTCACACGGGAGATAGAACGCAGACAACTATGATCAAAGATAGAAAGCTAGCTCTTCATGTCTTCCACTCTCAATGGCCAGGTTTCACTCACTGCCATAAAGGAGGATGGAGCGGACTGATGAGCAGTACACACGGCCTTTGATCAGTAGCCAGCTGGATATCACGTCTACGCCAGAGATGGCGTAAACTGGCATATGTGAAACTAGCCTTCTGTATCCGTGCTGAGATTTCGTCGGCGGTCGACCCGTTGGCATTAGCTGATGCAACTTCTCAAATATAACTCTGTAGTAATATGAGCTACACTTAACACAGGTATCATGAATCAGCAATTAAAGTACAGAATTCAAAGGTTAAATTGGATGAAAACAAAAAATATGTATAGAGGATATCACTGTTTAGATGAATATAGTGGAGCTATAGTTTGATGGTTTTAGGTACACAACTTTTCTACCTTTTGATTACGAGTCTAATCTTCACTTCGCCGGCAGGGGCGTAGTCAGCTAGAAAGTTTTAAACTTCCAGATAGTACACTGAATAATTTGTAAACGTGCACGTGATCAAGTTATATCCGTGAATCCAAATGAAGATTTGCATAACAATAACGCATCTCTTCCAGTGATTGGTTCTTAGCCGCACCACCCAAACATATATTTTTAATCTTTTGAGTTCGATACTCAGATAAATAGTCAAAAACTTTATAAATTAGTATCATAACTTGGCTGTTTTCAAGTCTTCTTCCAACCCTATTCCACTCCACTTAGTACGCACTAGCTTAATAAAAGTTGCAGATGCTCCAACACCTCAAAAGCACAACACAGTGAAATACATAAATTCATCTTAATCACTGGTCACAAGAAAGGGGAAGATAGATACAACTCAAGAATTCAACTACAAAGCACCAGTCCACGCAGTGGGCCAAAAATACAATGACACATTTGAAGGAACTACTTAACTGGGATCTTCATGTGGGTTTACATCAATATCCTGTTCAACATGAACTTTAAAAGTGGAGATTCCGTGAGAAGTATTTTAACTGCCCTTCGAAACTAATTGAACAACCTACATATTTTGCGTTGCAAAACAGTATAATACAGCATACGTGATAAAATAATAAACAATAATAAACGCAGCAATGAAGTGACGCCTTATTGGGAAAGATGATGGCTCGGTATGAGTAAAAAATATCTTAATCAATGAAGCTTGACAATCTCATCAATTGTGTATTGCTACACAGTACTTGATGAGGATTCGAGAATAGAGTTTGACAAATTCTCATCCTCTGTAATTTTTCATTAGGCTTCATTAATACACACTGCAACTGTTCCACAAATATATTTGATATCGCAATGATATTAATAGAACTAAAGTCCAAGTAGACTGACTTTTTTATTCCTTTACGTCCCTAGTGGGACATAGGGCTTCAAGTTTCGGTAGCAGTGTGTTTATTTTTACAGGATGGGGTTGCCTTATGCCCAACCTTCCCTGTTTACCAGTCGTATTACTGACTTAGCAAGGTAAAGGAGTGTGTCGGCCGGGAATCGAACTCCGAACCACATGCGTGGTCGGCGAGCATTGTGCCGTTGTGCCACCGACGCATTAGACGAATTAACGGATAATAATCACGACCGCGATAATAATAATTATAATAACAATAGTAATATATTCATACAAGGGCTTCTATAAACTAGATAGCCAGCCGTTGTAAAAAAAAGTTGTGTGGAATAGTCAGTAAAAATTACTAGCTTCCTAGCAATTAGATAGCAGTACTTAATTGGGAACAATAAAGATAATTCTATGTTTAAACGGCTCAAGGGTAGTAGCCAATTATTTCATCACTTCTTACCGCTACTTCAGCTGGACACCCTATGCTTTCCTTTAACGTGATCTCACTCCCGCTAACTTAACACATCAAGGTAGACGGTTGACAGAGACCTATGGCTTTTGCAAATGGCATGTTTTCGACCTAAAATCTATTTCTAACTTCCACGTTGCTCATGTAATAGTTCCAAAGGAAATCGACAGTGTTACGAAGGCAACGGTAGATTGAAACCTCAGATATTAGATACTCCATGTACAGAAGATATCAGGCTCAGCGGCATGCAATCTATTCTTTAAAATACCACCAAACATCTTGTTTCCACCAAGAGTATAGCAAGTTGGAAAGAGATAGGCAAACATTATATCCATGTTAAAAGTTCACTTACCACCAACCTGCCTAGAGCGTCGATTTCTCAGGGTTCAATTGACAAATTGACTTTATCAGATGGTTAGTATATAAACCGGTGATTGTAATACTGCATTACTATATACTAATATACTACTAAGTCAAATAACGCCATTGAAATAATACAGGTAAGACAGTTTTTGAACCAAATGTTTCTGAAAATATCAACAGAAGAACATTCAATAGGTTAGGAAACATACCTGTCTGTATATTTCCATTTGAGTCCCCATTTCTAATGCAGCAAGCCGTAATTCCTGAAGACCTGGAATGAACCGCCTGTCTAGCTCCACTACTGCGACGTAACGCGGAGATTTCTGAAGAATAGCTCGAGTAATCCCACCTGGACCTGGGCCAACTTCAAGGACATACGCATTACGTAAATTCCCTGCACATTTAACAAGACCATTTATAGACGACGGTTGTAATAGAAAATTCTGTGACAGTTGCTTCCGGGCTCGAAGGCCATATATTTGGATAATTTCTCGAAGAGACGGTAGAGGTGGTAATGGAATAGACTAAAATACAAACGAATCAATATATCATAGGCATAGGCAAGGCATATGATCGTCGCATCAAAGCGCATTTATTCACAATAGAAACACAAAAATCAAAAGACGATATGCGCCCGACGAGGTGTAAACAGTAAAAATGGTTCCTCGAAAGCTCGAATGTACTTACTGGCCATGATATATACACATCGTGAGAAAATCGACTATAGCACATTGCCTACAAAAGTTAACCCTCACCAGCCCACCATATTCGAAAACGTGAAATCCTATTTCTGTCTTAAAAATACTCGGTGTAAAATCTTCTTAAGACAACTGAAACGATGATATTACGAAGCAAATAGAGATATAATGAAATAACGACAACGGTTAGCGAGAATATACATGGAATGGTGGCCAAATGTCCCCAAGTTTACAATATATATTGTATTGTAATGCCCAAGTCGTTCTGAACAATGCGTCAATAATGCGGTATAATGCCAGACGAATATTTCATGAGCTTAAAAAACTAGGGTTGTGCTAAATTAATGTGGTGGGTGGCTAAAAATTTCACTGGAAGCTAAACCACAGTGGACTATGCAGAAAAACAACACAGTGCTGTTTGGTCCACAATTTCGGAATCATTTCAAGATTTACTGAGTGTAGCTTAAAGAAACCACTTCAAAACAGATTCAGAATTTACTCACTATAGAATGTTAGTTATAACTAGCTGGGTAGTTCATAATTAGTGATATTTAATTAAGTATTACAGTTAGCTTTGAACAAAGCAGGCACTAGTTCAAAATTTTTGAGCTTTATCTCAGCATTATATTAAGCTGGTTGGAAATCTCTACCAGCTAATATGCCAAGAAACGCCTAGTTATACTAAAAAAAATTAAAGGTGACTATAGTTTATATAAACTATAGCAGCACAAAATGGTTTGATGACTATGACGAATTTATGTACATAAATCGGCTTGACTTGACTATGAAGACTCCTATGAGAAAATGGGGGTGGGTGGGTTTCTTGGAGCATAACTTCTTATGTTTTCCAATGTATCCATTTTTTTAAATGGTAATGCATGCATTACAGGTATAGACATTTGTTCCAATTACACTCTTCTACTTCAGACACATCTGACTGGTCGCTAAAGGTCTTTACTAATTATTAGTTTAGGGCTGCCAAATACAGCAAACAGCTATCAAAGTGAGAAAGCAGTGACCTTGAGAAGGCCACTGGAAGATGAGATTGCAATTAGCGCCAGTCCAATATCCAATATCCTGATTACGAGCTAGTATAAACCAGTGATTTCTTTGAGCTTGCTTATTGATTGTAAGGTAGAGGTTCCAGATCTTCGGTGAACTTATGCGTAGTAAGTCCCGCCACTCGACTGCTTTAGCTCTGGTAGACTCCAAGAGGAGTGGCGGGGATTGGTCAAAATGTGGTTTGTAGTGTGCAGTATGTTAAGACTGAGTTGCTGCTGTGAATGGAGTTTGACCTAACACCCGTTGGTCATTCGGTGTAGTCATAAAAGCAGAATAGTAATATTAATAATAGGTTGTAGTGTAGATAATATAGGTTGAGATAAGTGAAATAATAAAGGTGACCTAAGGAAAAGATAGAGTAGTCGGTACAGTGAGAGAAGACAGAACGGGTCGTGGGGATTTAGCTTGTATGCTTATCCATTGACAATGTGGTTTCAAATTTTAAGAGGATAAGCCATTGAGACACAAACCTTGCATTTCTGCATGATTGTCCAGCTTCCGCTTAAAAGTCTCCACAGATGGCGATGTAGTCACGGCCGCCGGTAAAGCGTTCCAGAGACAGCAAACTCGAAGCGAAAAGAAATGTGAACGCACTCGAGTCTTGGGTCTCTGGTGTGCTATCCTTAGCGGGTTACCTCGTGGAAGCCTATAATCACTTAATGGCAGGATGCTTTTATTAGGGTGGGCCTGGTCATTTAAGACCTTATAGACGGTGATGAGGTCTCCCCTGTGACTACGGTAACTAAGTGTGAAAAGACTTAATTTCTTCAGTCTTTCCTCATATGATTTGTTGTGGAGGCCGATCACCCATTTTGTCGCTCGTCTCTGGACACTTTCTAGAATGTCAGCATCCCTTTTGAGTAGCGGAGTGAGTGCATTTACGAAATTCTCACTGTGATTGATTGAGTTTTTGAAGACAATTTTGATCTGCGTTTATTATTTATCAATCTTTATCTGTTCTGTTAATGCTAGTTCTCATATTATTTACAGACTCCAGCCTTCTGATAATGCACCAGCAGTAGGAAGCTTGTGAGGACTAAATTTGTTGCAGGCATGTTTCAGATTTTGGATTAAACATATATATACATACGTTATCCATGTATCCTGCTAAAAATGGGCTTCGGCCACACTGCTTAATGACTCTTTAACCTTGTCCACGAGAGTTTGTGTCTAGGCTTCTCCTAAAACCTCCCCGACTAGAGAAGGAAGAATATAACCATTGCGTCTGTCCAAGGATGTATTTATTAACCATAGTATGAAGGGATTACTAGATGTACAATCACACCACAATGCAAAGCCTCACTCATGTTCCTGGAAAACCCTATTTGTCTGTAATCTAATCAAGTTAGCATAGGTAAACAAACTCATCGCTGAAAGTAAAATGGCTGAGATTCATTAGAGTGGATGAACTACTTTCACTCTCTACAGCACGAGGTGGTAAACAAATCTAGATTGCCTTCTAGCCACCAAGAGTTATCTGAGATGACAGCCATCCCAGTTGCCACACATCCGGTGTTTGTGACAGCCTCCAGCGTCAGAACAGCATGTATTACCGTGAAGGTGGACGACATTAGTTCTAGTGAGTGCTTCGTCATTTTCCTGTCTGCACATGGCCTATCAGGACTTATTCGTATATCGAATCTTCTATCCATAGCTAATGGTTGGGACAGTAATAATGAGTTCTACGCATCTCCAGCCGATCTCATTTCCATCCATAGGGGAGGTAGTTTATATTGAAGTGGCTGAATATTCTTCCGCAGTCTACATCTTTACGGACCTGATGTCAAGCTGTGGTTTGCTGCATAGATTAGAACACCGTTCCTGATCAAACAGTTCCTTTCGTCTAAGTATATTACTGCCGCACACTGATTCGTTAAATAGGATGAGACGGTTTGTCTGAGGTTTAGTCTTTGGCTGCTTGTCTTCATTTCTATGGTCCGTAACATTAGCCTGCTTCAGGGACTGATAACTTTGCGTCGCACTGTCAAAACCATGTCTACTGATGGATGCCACTGTCATTTAGCAGTTCCATAGTTCCTTACTTCTCTCACCGCTGTGTCTCAATGGCTTTATGCAAGCCGAATGTTTACCAGATGTAAATTCATATGTCTGGTTTCTGTGGATTTATACTCAAAGTTGGTTGGGCTACATTATTAGATTTACGGTTTTCGGCTACCTTAAGTGATGTTCTGCTTTTATTTTCCAGTGAAACAGTACATGAAACAGTGCGATGGTGTCATAGTGAGAGTTGAAAGATTGGTAAAAGTTCACTTGTACAGTTAAACTTGTAATATCCATTATCCCGAAAATCAACACGGATGTGCGTTAATATGACTAATTATGAAACCTAGACAGTTCATCGGATTCGTTTTTGATAGTCTGATCTTGCATACAGTGCTACTATACTTGGTTTTACTCTTTCTTTATCAGATCACAGTGTCATTTCTAGTCCAAATCTGTGAGAGAATTACCTAAGAACGTACTTGGACATTTTATACTTATATGCACCAGTTATTTATTTATTTACCTTCAGGTGTGCTTTGAAACACTCCTCATGACGCGGTGGAATTGTTTGCTTCTTCAACTAAAGTCCTTCTCCCTTCCTCGTATTATGAGGATCCTACTAGACAGGCGAGTAAACGCATGTTAGCTGGTCAGATACAGACAAAATTCTATCTCACCGAGGCTATGTTTACTTCCTTGCTTGCGGCACTTCTTCAAAATAGAATACCTTGTCAGATGTATTCGACTGGACTTAGAACCCTTATGGTTAAGGAGAGTGAAGTGCAATTTATTTCTCTTATTCAAAGTTATAAGAAAGCACTGTAACAGTAACTCGTCTATAACCTGGGCTAATCCTAAATCGTATGGACTACGCAACCATAACTGCCTTCTCAAGGTTAACACCCATAAGCTCACCACTAGAGCTAACTTCTTCACCATTAAATATTGCAAACTTTGGAACCAACTACCCTCTGAGATTAGATCCTGTGAAAGGCCTGACAGTTTCAAAAGGAGCCTAGAAAAACATATTAACATGTCCACCCTAGCCCTTCTAAATGATCTCAACTGCTGGTAGAGTGGTGAAACCATGACATTTCAATATTTAACTACAGACAGTACACTAGTTCCTAGACTAACCTAATAATACTTAGTAATTATGCATGTTCAATACTTGAAATTAGATTATCATTAAAATACTTAAAATGATTACTTACGCAGCAAATGTTCTCTTAGTTTATCACTCTTATTTCCCTTATAACATTCAGTTTTTAAGCCTGATGTATTCTTTGATAATACGAATTATAACACTGATTACACTCTTATTATACATAAATTGATTTACTTTACGGCTACCTGTAAGACTCACTAACTTTCTGTAGTATTGTTAACCAAATGCTGAAATTTTGTTGGTTCTGCTAATATCTTTTTATAATATATGTAGACAGGTTACTTTGCAATGTCAAATGTTTACTATATATAAAACTGTCATGACAATTTAGTACACTTGGTCCTGCCAACCGACCTTACCTTCAGTTCATACTACCTATATTGAACCCTAACTATATTGTTCTGCTGAATCTTGCTCCACTATTCACAAAACCTATTCTTGTTATTCTTCAGGGTTTTTGACTTCTTATAAAGTAATCTGTTCATTAGGACGCATGCATACGTATATAATATGTTCATAAAGATGTACGCGGGGACCTATTGGAAGCACTAATTAAGAAAGCTAGGGAGATGGAATATGGGGTACGAACATGTCTGGTACCAAGCAATATATTTGCGGTAACCATAATAATCATAGTCTCAGAGCCTAACATCAAAAAAGGTGGGAGGGTGGAGTTAGCTGATCAGTAGATATGGTGGGGGTCACTAAGGTGAATCGTCCCATTCTGCAGGAACAGCATTAAAAAATTTGAAGGCTCGAGATATTTCTGATTTTTATGAGGGCTTAAATCTTTATCTTGAAAAAGATAACAATGAACGCCTTGACAGATCATGCTTCTACCTTTAAATATATACCATTCACCCAGCCTATTGTTGAGATGCGACCATGTGGGATCTGCTCAGATTTATGGGGCATCTTATAATTTAACTTGCTGTCTATCGTCAGATCTTTTCATACCACTCCACAATGTCTTATCTCATTTATTTTCTGACAACGTCTTTACTTGATCCTCATTTTACTCCATTAAACTTAACATCTTATAGCTCTTCATTGCTTATTATACTCCTACTCTCTGAAGGGTACGGTTGTGCACTAAATGCACAAAAAGGTATAAAATAAAAACAACTGGCATGAGGATAATTGTATTAAAACCAAAAGTGGATATCATGATAGTTTGTGATATATCTGTAGCATTATACATTGCAAATGAATGTTGTTACCCTAGGGTGTTTCCTTCATTAATGCATTTATTAATGATACTTGCACTTACCTATTTCATTACAATTTAATGATTCACCTCAGCACTTTAATTTTTCTAAAACAGATTCCAATCCCTTGTAAAAGGTGTACTTACCTCAATATTGGTTGGTTATCGTATGCCTACAACCACGGGATGAAGAGTGTGAATATACGTTATAGGGTGTTATATCTTACGCGCTTAAGGGCTTTCTCAGCTTTGATTGGCTAGTACAGTGGCGGAGAGTTTGACTTAAATTTGTCCTCGGTAGGTCATGCCGTGTGCAGGTTTTCGTGGTTGCGGCATGCGTTGTTTGCAAGCATGTTTGATGAATATAAATGTAAAATATTGGTATTCTAACGTTTTATTTTGCTTATTTTGTGCATGTACCAGGCTTGGTTTATCATACATTCTGTTTGTTGGCCTATCGGTTGCTGGCGATGTCAAGGAATCCGTGAGTTCGAGGGCTTTTCTCGATTTTAGGTTATACATGTAGCATTTTATTGATGGATATTGCGACACAGATGGATGCTAATTGACAACGCCTTTTTAGTTTATTGCAGGTAGGCAATGCGGGTGAAAGTACTGCTGACGTCAGTGGAATTTTCGATGAAATTATGCTGGGAAGGCGTTTCTTTAGTTGGGAGGAATTTGAAAATTCCTTAGGAGAATTTCAACAAGTGAGGAAGTCATTTAATGCTAACAATGTAGTTGTCCTGCACTCACTATGTGCATATTCAAAGCAAAACAACAGGGGAAGACAGATATAAGTACGCTTACGTTTATTTTAAATGCACTTTTGGCGTGAACCGTGGAAAAGCTGGCCTGAAATTGCGAAACAAGTCGTAAGAGGAATTGTATTATGATAATATGTATGTTTAAGGTCTAAATGTTGCAACTGTCTGTCTGCATTTCGCGTAATTTTGCGTTATAGTGAATACGTGATAACATCCCACAAAATGGTCCACAACCATCCATGCACCAGGGTGTATATGCAGAATGATCCATGGTCTAGACGACTGTCAGCGGAAGAGAAAGAAAATATAGAACCACTTCTTCACCAATCACACTCATCAGATGAAATAATTATGCATGTTAAGGAAACATTCCACAAGGACATAACTCTTAATGACGTTAGAAATCTGAAAGCTTCAGTTAATAAAGGTAACGTTAATGTAAATGTAAACTACTTCAGGTATATCGAGCCGTTATGACATTTTTGAATTCCTAAAGTCCCGTGGGAAGTTATTGGAGTATTATGCAGATGAACCGATAAGGAATTCACTGATGAGAGTCTGTTTTTCTACTTATGAGCAAATAGATTTGTATAAACGTTTTCCGGAGGTTGTTGGCATCGATTCTACATATAACACAAATAAAGGGAAGTAAGTTTATTAATTAATTAATGAACATGCAGGTATTCTTTGTTTCAATTGGTTGTAACGGATAATTTTGGTCGTGGGAGACCGGTTCTATTTGCTTGGACGCGAAAGGAATTCAAGCGTGATGTTGTTTGGATTTTGGACTCGTTTCGTAGCATAATGGAAGACACCTCTAAAACAGAAACATTCATTATGGATTGTGCGCAAGCCGAAATAGGAGCAGTGAAGTTAACACACAGAGAAGCGCACATTGTTCTTTGTTCTTTTCATGTTTGTCGTGCATTTTGTCGTAAAGTAAATTATTTAAAAGCATAATTAAAATTTCAATTTTAGACGCGGAATCCCATTGTTAAGAACTACTTATGTCGCTTAATTCAGTGTAAAAGGAGATCTGAGTAATGCCTTTAATATTTTCATTTTTCCAGATTTAACTTCTATTTCAGAGTTATAAGCCGATTGGATGTTGGTGTCAGTCAGTATTTACAACGTCGTTGGATGAGTCGACGACACTTGTGGGCAGCAGCTTTCAGGGAACACGTACTGACTTTGGGTAATGACACCAACAATCGTGTAGAAAGTTCTCACAAGCAGATGAAGCGGTACTTGCTTAGATCAGATAGTCTGCATCAAAGCATGCTGAAGGTTCACAAATGGTTTCAACTTAGTAATTCTAGAATAGAGCAGGAGTCCATGATTGCTCAGTCGCGTTCCCTCAAGTATTCATGTTCCGAACGCATAATACCAATTTTACGCCACCTGACGCCATACACTGCGAAGAAAGTGATCGCTGATTATGCGAAGCGACGATGGACTTCTTTTCAGTTAGAAGGTTTTGATTATATCTTCTTGGATGACAATGGGAGACCAGTAGAGGTGGATCTGCGCGCATGCACATGTACTTGTATGACTTTCCAGACTTGTCGGTATCCCTGTCGACACTTGCTGATGGTGCATTTAAAAAAGGCGTGTTTCACAGGTAAAATACCCTTTTTTGAAACTTGTATATTCATTTACACGTAAGATATACTAGGTTGCCACCTGAAGTATTCCCTATTTTATGTCTCCATAGTTAATGCATATTAACCTACTCCTAAGTGACTGAAATTCGTAGATACTAAAATGTATATATATTTCATAAGGGTTTGTCTTAATTGAAAACAGGACCTAAGCACTGTCATTATTTATCCTTTAATATTGCGTGCATAATTCTATTTCCGTTTACCGTTACACCTTTTGTAGTTAATCATGTGCTGCAGAACTGTAAACGATGGACATGGTCTCGCCAATCGTACGCAATTCCAAGCACGTCAGCAATTGTGCCGCTAAATCAATGTGACTTATACGTAACAAATAGGAGGCTTATTAATGCGGGCCTGACGAGAATTTGCGACAAATATGGACGGAGGTTTGCCGCAGAGTTCGCTGGACAAGTAGTTGCTCAAATCAACAATGTTCTTGATGTGTAAATTAAATACTTTCGTATTACAATAATAATAAACTTTTCGTATTAAGATTGTTGCCTTTCTGTTAGTGTGTTCGCGTTGGGAGTACGGCATGCTAGACCGGTGCTCCCTAGGATATGAATTCCTTACTATACGTAAGTGCTAATCTGTAGGGACACTTTCCACCGATATAAGTCGTGAATTATAAGTACTTCAGTCACGTCGAAAAAAATTTGAGATTAAGTCTCCTAGTCATAGATAAATCTGTAGGGACTAATTACAAAAATACCTAACTTCAGTGTTTGACAAATAAGAATAGAACTTAGGGCCCTGCAGTTGACTTCGATTTCGTATGAAGTTAAGTGTAATCAAAAGCACTGTATTACTACTATTTCACTTAAAGCAAGATGTCAATCAATATGACTACGGGTGTTAACATACAGTGTAAACTGAAGTCTACACGAGAGGAATAATTTAATAGGTTGGGCTGTAGCAATGTTAGTAAGATATCGCCGACGTTGAATTATGACTACAATTAGTTTCTCAGGCCTACATCTCGTCATAATAACAAATTTAGTTTCACTGAGATAGAATAAGAAAAGTATGGTTAGCAGGATGTTAAATATATTTCATGAAAAATATTAAGCGAATGTCTTCACACAATTGTTTTTCGTAATTACTGCGAGGATGCGTAATTGCTGTGACCTGGTTGACTGACTTGACCGAACATCTACAAGTAAATAATAAGGTATAATTTTTAAATCGTTGAAGTTAGAAATAAGTAATGTAAAAGTGAAACGCTTCATATTCTCCTACCTTTGCTGAAAAAAGGTTCATTGTCCTTTCTCATTCTTTGGTCATGACAGCATTCTTCTGCGGTTTTCACTGTGACATACATTGTTCTTCTTCTAAAGTATAGCACCAAGCAAATAATACCTTAATATACTGTATAAATGGGTGTTTACAAGGAATGCATGACATCTCTACAGGTACAATAAGTTAGGCTATAAATTATAATCGTGAAGTATCGTAAATTAAAACTTTTTCAAAAGCTTACATTGTTCATTTATTGCACTAGCAATTACAACAGATTAAAATAAGAGTTAAACTCCGGACCCTTTACAATGAACACTGCATATATATAGGTAAGTGCTATTCCCTCACACAATTAAAAGGTATTCCAGGAGGAGAACAGCATCCTGAGAAACTGCAGTACTGTTTTCTAGCTATTCCGAAAATATTCCTTTGATGCTGTTTCTTAGCAACAGTTTGCAGTATTCATAGTGACTTTAGAGAAAACTTTATCATATCTTCACTTTCCCTTCAAGTACAATAGCATGCAGTAACTACATACACACAAGCATTGTAACTTAAACATCACAAAATCCCTACAGATAACTTGTTTCATAGTAAATGCTTTTGAAACATGAGCCATAAGTACACCTTCCATGCCATTCATAGTCACAAGTAATTCATTAAGCATCTCAGAATATGTTAGTGATGTGAACATGAAAAATTATTAAGACTGATATAACTTAAGTAACACGTTTAGTAGTTGTAGGACATACCTACGAGCTACTATTCTACAGAAAGGTGATTCGAATTTGAAGCAGTCTAGCATTGTAGAAGCACCATGTATACTATTATTCTGGCACAAATGCACAATGATATCGAGATAATCTGATGCAATGTAATGCACTCAGCAATTACGGTCTCCCGAATTTCTATGTGACAATGTAAATTAAACTAGTATCACATCTTCAACTGAGCCATTTAAAATAGGAACTTCAGAGAAATGGGTAAAATCACCAGGAAATTCAGCAAATTGCCTCATTCATCGCATACTCTCTTCGATGTGTTATGGAATATTTCAATCATCACGGATGATGATAAAAAAGTGTTTGGTATCCTCAAAACGTATATTTCACTTGTGTCTGTGGGCTAGTTCTCCTTCAAATGTCTCCTTATCATAGAATAACTGCTATGAAAACAACCATTGTATACACCTAATTTTCAACCTATATTTCCTCAAAAACCTAGCAAATAATAGACCATTAAGGCTCTAAAACGCGAAGAATAGTCTTTTTTGCTAAATTTCTTATATACGATGAGGTATTGAAGTAATACATACTCTGCGATATCATGACAGGTTCTTCCATTAATACGAACAAAATACTGGAAAATGTTGCTTTTTCGGTTATATAAGCCTGAAACCAGTTATATATTATCTACTTTCAAAAAAGTAAACGCTTATAACGCCTCTATACGCGTGAACACGATAACCCATACATTCCGCGATAATATATCACTATAACGTTTATTGCCACTCCGGGATGAAAACGGAACGAAGTCGATTTTCCCGCTCAACTTGGAGGACAACTGTACAATTCAATAACTATACGGCCTAATTCAGAAAATGAGTGTATTATATGTATCGAATATTTAACAGTTGAAATACGATTAACTTGTAGACAATCTACGATTTGATATTATATCATACTTGATCGTGCCCGTAAAAATGGCATGAATTTTCATGTAAATTTGTAAATTTATATGAAATACATTATTATTACTATTACTTAAAAATAGTTTTTTCCCTATTTCTTCAAATTTTGCTTGCCGTATCTTCTTGGATCTCATTTCCATGTCATAGAACTGGTCAAGCTGAAGTCTAGGGTAATTGTTTTGATAGAAAAGTCGGTTTCTAAATCCTTACTATTGATCTTAACTTCTAATCGGTTCTTGTTATTAGCGCCTCACTTTGCTATTACGTGGAGCTGGGCCGCTTATAGGAATGTGTTACCTTCTTGATTCCTCCAAATAGAATTTCGCTCCCTATGAGGATGTTCTTGTTGGTTCTCGGATACTCAATTGTTTTTTGATTAACTGATTTTGTGTCATAGCATGTATTTGTACCAGAGATACTTCCAGACTGTACAAATGCCTCTTGGCAGTGGTGAGATATTTTGTAATTCCGATACAACTTACTGCTGCTGACCACATCTTGCTAAATTGTGTTGGAATATATATTTTCACCGAGGGTGACTCACGGAGGTGTACCAAATTACCCAGAAAACACAGCAAACCTCTTAGACGTTATTAGCCTGAATACGATTATTCGCTTCCTGCTTTCAAACAAAAATATTTGCTCTTTGGTCGACACAGATTTTATGAAGTAACTTTTCGGTTTACAGGTCCTACCCAAAATATAGCTGTTTTAAACAGCTGAAAAAGCTATCGCAGAACTTCCTTGAAAATACCAAATTCACCCCATATGTTGTGGCAGAAAATCTCATATCGTTTTGTCACGTTTATTATTTCTATACAGCCTCAAAAACACCTACAATCGCAGAAGAACTGCTTTTTCATTAGTTTGAGTATCTTGTTATTTATTATGAAGCGTTTAAGATTTTCCTTTAGTACAATTGAAACTCCATTTCGAATGCAGTTTAAAGCTATTATTCCTTTTCAAAGTACCATCAAAATTTCAAGCTCAGAGCATCTTTAAGTCAATTTTTCCGCTGTAGCTGCTGTCACTCCCATACATTTAAGCTTAAAATATTTAAATGAAGAGAACTCATTTCTGTGTGTTACACCTACGTTACGGTCATTCACCAGATGCCATTCTGGTGATAAATGGATCCCACGAACAAAGTAAAGTTTTCCGCCTCCTAATGCCGTTACAACCACACAAGAAAAGAATTCTGTTAGGCTGTCGTCTTTCTCAGCCATCTTTAACACGTTTAATTGACTAGGCCTTGTCTTCCTATGGATTCTGTATCATGGCGATATTTTTCTTTTCCCAGAGACTGCACTGAATGCCACAAAGTACCATCATGTTTAGGACGATCACAGCTTCTTCTCAAGATAGCGATTTAACGCACTATGGTGACAGTTGTGATGTCCTTAGTTTGTCTAATTCAGAAGTGCAACCTCCCAAGGTTTTCTGCACAGTAAGTTAAAGGCTGACCAGCGAGATGGATTTTTCACAATCGTTACCGATTTCGCTCACATGTTCGCATTTTCATATTCTGATCAGTATTTGGTATCATAACATCTTGTCCCAACAGACTCAGTAGGATCTTATTGGAATGGTTACTGCAATACGGCTTGCGAATTACAGAAACCTAGAATTAACTTGTAGAGCCCTCCCAGGAAGTTAGTCAACTACATTATTTGAAATACCGTGGGACGATTCGGTCATGAGACTCGCAGTTGCTGTGTAGCCATATATACTCGTAGACTTGGATTTTGGCCACGTAGTTGTCTGACTCCTAGTGCTGGCCCACAATAACCTGGCAAACCAGATACCCATAACACCGCTTTAGCTAATGATGGAAGGATAAGAATCAAAGAGCCGTCTCATGCTGAATTGGACTGGGTGAAGAAGAAATCATGGGAAAGTAAAAAAACAGCATAGTACAACCCCTAAAATCTTGCCTCCAAAGTCAGTACTGTTCTACAAGACCTTCTTTGGGTTTCAAATATAGATGAATAAGGATAAATGACGCCAAGTTTCTTCGGTTTCTTGAACTTATTGGTCCCTAGAACTACCAGTTTGCTAGGAGGTTGTGAGCAAAATCATTTAGTATAAAGGAGCATACATAATTATGTTGATCTTCGAAATTTTCTAAATGCACCGTCTGTTGAGAATCTAAAAATACAAAATAAGAGCCAGAAGAATTTGACAGATAATGTTAAATGTCGCACGTAACCAACAATCACTCACACAACAGACTTCTCTTCATCATATGCCGGTGAAAATATAATAGATTATTTGAGGAGTATGAATCTGCCCAAAAACGTGATAAAACTGGCATTTCGTTCCCATTCAGATGAAAGTGGCGAGGTGATGTATAGGGCCTGTACGCCAAGAAAGTCATTTAAACACTAGGACCATAGATAGTAACAAATACATAATTATTTGGTGGGTGGTTAATGCCGACAGAATACAGAAGGATGAGACGAGTGACAGAAAAGAAGTGGCTTCTTTTTATGTTTTGTAAGGCTTCTTATGTCGATTAAACTAAGCGGAATGAAGATGGTCAGGCTTCTCCTTCTTCACTACCCTGCCGGTGTTCTTGCGAAATAGATGATTAACATCATTAGCTATCTTCTCACTTTGTGCACACATTCAGATGTACAGCAGTCAGAGATCGACGAAAGAATTGTCCAATAAACACAGAATGAAGAACAGGGTATGATGTACAGTTCCGGTACTTCAGAACACATTTTGTAGATGTAACAGTGAGTATCGTAAGGCTGTTTGTTGCGAGTAAATGTTATTTTTTAACTGTTGTTACTATCTCTGGACACAGAATAGCACTAGATTGTTGATACAAAATTTTAAGCATACACATCCTGTGATATAGAATACGGTCTAAAACTACTGAATACATACAGGAGTGACCACATGAATATGGGAGTGGTCGGGAAAGTTGAACTCTAAATACACAGACCTGTTGCATTACATGAAGTATTTACATCTTCAACAGACGAATCTTCGAATGAGATTTGGAATGAACTGATAATGAAGGTATATATATACATATATTACATCTGAAAGTCAGAAATATTGAGGGTTCTGTCTAGAATATCCTGAGCGTAAGTACGATAATTTGTGCGTGTGACCATCACAACTCATGACTGTTTTGCATAGCGATACAGTTAATGAGGCACAGTAATGGAGTTTTCATTGATGTTTCATTATTGGTCAAGCACTGTTATACCAAGATCTCACTTGATATAAGTATAAAACTTGGGCACTGTGGTAGAGTATAGCTCCATTATGGATAGGATTTTATTTTGATAAATCATACAGTGTTATACAATAATATTAACTGATGACGTTTCGAGCACAAACTATTGCTCATAATCATATCAAGTTACTCACACAACTTTTTTCTTTCACTTTGATACATGTTTGGAATTGACCAGATATTTGAATAAAAATCAATATGAGATAATGTACATTCAGAAATAATAATACGAGTGTTATTGATCAAATACAATCAGATGGGAAATAAGACGAGTGTTTTTATAGTCATAATAAGTAACTTGTTAGAATGTTATAATGTACTTGAATTGAAATAGAATTTTGAGATTATTTATTATCCTCTTCTGATTTGACTGGCGGTAATAATATCTCCCATATTTCTGGTATTTGCATTGAGTCATTTCTGTTGCATATGTTGGGTGTAGACTCAATGAACCAGGATTCATTAATCAATCTCTCTCTCCACTTACATAGATTACTTCTTAGAATCTTAACCCTCTCCCACCCTATTGTGTGGTTTTGTGTTAATGCATGCGGTGCTATTGCTGATGATGACGAGCTATGCATAGGTGGGTTTGACCGTCTTAATCATTGTGATTCAAGATATACTGGAAGATTTTTCACTATATGTTAACAAATAACAAATAAATAATACTGCATTAGTGTAAGTATTGACAAAAAATAATTTTGCCTTAGAATTATGCTGTGCCACAGATCGCGGTATCTATTTTTTGTTAAAGATGAGATTATTTGAGCGATATCGAAACTTGATTTTATGAACAGTTACTATAACTGGGAGCTTAGATAAGCAAAACATATTAGGCATGATTTACAATTTACTTAGCACATAATCACAACTTTTATGACATTTTGATCGACTGGCGATGCAGGCGAAAAATACATACCCATTTCACTAGCAAGAATTTGATTTGTCAGCTACGGCAGACTATGCACCAACGGCCTAATTGTATTCATATATATATATTAATGGGTGACAAACGAAAAGCAATATCCAATAATACAATGGCAAATATTCGACAATCATAAATTAAATTAATTTCTGTAAGCGTATACGTGTGCACATGAATTAGTTTATAAGAGAGCAGGATGCAAATTTCGTAGCATTACGTTAAGCCATACAAGCGGATCACACTTTAGGATTCCTGAAGAACCGAAATGCCTTTCTCAAAAACAATGCTTGAATGTGCCCATGAGTATATAAGGGTTAATAGAACAACAAAAAATTGTTGGAATTTACAACTGCAGCACAGAAGGATTACCGATATGCGTGACATGGCACGGAAGCTACTATCCAACTTTATATGTTATTATTTATGATGAGAAGGCACGTAAGTTTCGTGTGCGTATCTAAGAGTCAGATCGACCACTACGACTAGAACCGTGACGCGAAGTAGGAGAACAGGTAAAGGGGTGCAATAGTAGTCCAACAGAACACAATGTGGGTATTACCGTTACGGACCAAAATGGTGGCACTACTATTTCACAGGAGGAAGACCTAGTGGCTACTCCCCAAATAAACCCTCAATAGTCTAGGAAGCTACAGCGACTCACACCGGGAAGTCCCCAGGTTGTGATAACATCAGGCCATCTGTTCTGAAACAGTGAGCCGAAGCTCTCTGCAGCCCTTATGCGACATGTTCCAACACTCAAGGGAGTGGAAGAGAGTCATCCTTTCTCCGATCTTCAAGGGTGGGGATAGGCAAAATCCCACCAGTTGTAGACCAGTAGCTCTACTCCCAGTGGTATCGAAAGTACTGAAAGTATTATTGACGATCACATCAGGGAATGCCTCGATAGGTCTAATATACTCCATGAAGCCCAACACGGTTTCAGGAAAGGCAGATCCTGTGTAGCAACCTACTATCAGCTTGTGACGATTGGACATCATCTGGATATGAATGTTATCATGTGGTCTTCTAGACTGAGAAGGCATTCACACAGTTCACATGACCTTCTCCTACGCAAAATAATCAGGCAGGTATAGGTAAACCACTTCTGTCATGGTTGAAGGACTACCTAGTTGAAAGGCAATTTTGCACCAAGGTCAATCGTGTCCGATCATCTTGGCACAGCTCATCATCAGGAGTGTCTCAGGGTTCTATCCTAGGACCACTGATGTTCTTGATTTTTATCAATGATCTACCATGCCATCTAAGCTGCCCGACTCTTCTATACGCTGACGACGTAAAGACGTGGAGGGCGAAGGACTCAGATAGGCCACAGGAAGATCTAAAGCTTCTGGAAGACTGGGCGGTGGCCAGTGGCATGACTTTCAACCTGAAAAAGTGCAAAGTAATGAAGTTACCCACCTGTAGACTGCAGAATGCAAGTTACACCCTGTGCAATGAAAGCTTGTCCTGTACAACGTCAGAACGCGACTTAGGTCTAGTTCTAACGGAAAAATTGGACACAAGCCTAAATTACACGGGGGATGTAGCGGGGGCATATGTGGTCATACACTTTACACATAGACAGTTAGGTGCACTCACTCCTGAGCTCTTTCTAAGGTTGTACAAAACATACGTCAGACCACACCTTGAAGTGCGTAATATTACTGCACCCCCACTGCTTAGAAGGGACGTCAACCTCTTGGAAAGAGTCCAAAGACGGGCAACAAAAGGAGTGGTTGGTCTCCGAAATAAACCATATGATGAAAGGCTGAAGAAATCAGGCCTATTCACACTTAGCTACCGTCGGCTTAGGGAGGATTTGATTACTCCCTACAAAATAACAAATAACCAGAATCACCCAAACAAAGGTGTTCTGCCATTGAGTAGTTATTGGCTCCCTCGTGGAAATCCCAGAAGGACAGCTCACCAGGGGGCAAGGAGTCTGGTGCACTCCCACTTCTTTTCACTGCGGGTTTGCCGTCCCTGGAATTCCTTACTGGCAGATGTAGCTATGCCACCTTCTGTGGACGCCTTTAAGCGAAGGCTGGACAATCATGCAGCAACACAAGGACTGCGTTCAAATGACCTATCCCCTTGGAATCCCATACACCATTCAGGGGTTGACAATTAAACTTGTCGTTTTACTTCTTCACATTCTCTCCCGTCTTGCTCTTCTGAAAACTTTAACTACACCTATTATTATCATTATTACCTATATATTATTCATATTATTGTTCAAATTTAATCAGCTGACTGTTGTTACAATTTCTTATTTCTTTTTCTGCTTGTTAGTCTGAATAACTTCACTAATTATATCTATTATTATCTCTTTTCTTTTGAAGACGATACCAAAGGACTAACTGGTGAAAGGGTCAACTCCATTCACAGTAGTAACAGTCTCAACACACCTCATACTACAAACCACATATAATTAATCCCAGCACTCCTCCTTTTGCAGTCAACGAAAGCTACGATAGTCGAGTGTCAGGACGAGATACGCAGAAGTTTACCGAAGATCAGGAACCTATACCTCACAATCAAGAGGCGAGTACAAAGAAAGTGAAATTAGTTTATAGTAGCTCGTAAAAACGATATTGGATATTGGACCTTGGTTCACGCCCAGTGATATTTTTTTGAATCTTGCGGTACCGTCAGTCATTACCGCATCAGCTGGTGGGTATTCTTGTCAGGTTGGGAATTTATATCGTTTTAGTAGACTTAGTAAAGTGAAATTACTTTAAAACACAGATTACATTCTTTTCTCAAACGCGATTTCCATTTATTCGTCACATTTTTGCGCAAATGGATGACAGTTACAACTGTCTTAAAGACAAGTTGAAACTTGTTGATCAGTGGTCTGCTCTGTGATTTTTCTGATGAAGGCTTTCTCAGAGGACTTTCGATAAAAATAATAAGAATGACGATTATATTGGATAGACTCATTATTTTATGTATCCAGTTACCTTTTTACGAACTGATGGAAATCATATTGAAATCCTTGAGCTCACTTCTTGGATGTAAGATAAAGGTCCCTAACCTTTGATGCAACTTCTGCATAGTTTTTTTCGCCACTGGACTGCTATAGCTTCGGTTGACTTCAAGGGGAGTGATCCTGGAATTGGTTGTATTTTTTGTAGTATACTGTGGGTTGAGACTGTGGTGCTTCTGTGAATGAAGTTTATTTGTTAGTCGTTTGGTGTGGATAAAGAGGAAGATAATATTATTAACCCTATATAGTATATTTAGTGGAGATAATATAAACTTTGAGAGAAAAACGAACAAATGGATAGATGATGAAGTTCAACAATTGAAAAGTGAGTGGATGAATAGGCAGAGTAGTCAAAAGAGTGAGGAAAGGGACACTGAGAGGCAGTAAAGTCTGTTTAGGTGGTACATATTAGTAGAGTTAGGTATGTCAGTTTCACTTTTAACATCGTAAAATGTGTCTGCCTAGATAGTTCATAATTTCTGCCTCCTGACAACTGTGGGAAGTAAATAATTTTGCAGCAGTTTCGGGATACTTATTATAATTTCAGGGCATTTTGGTTGCGCGGAATTTCCACGCATTTCCTAGAAGTGTTTACATTGCTTCGCTCCCGAATCGCATCCAGATTTTTCACTTGGGACAATTGTTGCCAACGATCGCAACAGACATTTTATGGAAGTGTGAAAAGTTTTGGAGTTCTCAAGTAGCTCTACTGCTGAGTGATTTAATCATTCCTCCAGGGTTACTCCTCGTTATTCTACCCCGGTCATCTGAAATGCACTGTAATTTTTACCAAATACCATATTTTTGTAGTTTCGTTGAAGTCAGTAACCCTGTACAGGTATCATTACCACCACAAGAGAAGTGTTATTCTTGTCTTTTGTTGTAGTCTAGATTTCATAGCACTTTCATAATTCCGTAGGCTCGTTGAAACTCTCAAGAGGTTATGATAAAACTATATTTAGGACAAAATGGAACGTTTCTATGCATCGCGTATCATCGCATCCTTAGTTATGTGAAGTTTTTCAGTACACTGGTCACTGTCATTAGTTTGTTGTAATTCCTTCACGAAAGCCTTTGGAAGAAAAACCACAGACTCAATTAATTACTAACTATTCGACAAACAATCTACTTGAACTAAGTTATCATTATTAACAAGAAATATTCAAAAATAGTAATACTTACAACTGAAATATATTTCACTTTGTTGTCATTTTTCATTGACGAAATAACTAAGACAAAAGCAGTTATCTATAACTCTCGGTATTGTGTACTCCCAGTTACATATTTTGTTACTACTATTGGGCGTGTACTTAACAGGTATTTTCTAAGTGCCTCAGGAAGATGAATATATATATTACAGATACTGGTAAAGAATTGTTACATGTAGTAAACAGATGCTTCACTTTTACTAGTAGTCTGTGGAAAAGTACTGTCAACTACCGCACAGTATGAATCAACTAAATGCAGACATTAATGCTGTCACTGCACTTACTAAGGCCTTCTCTTGCATAGTGAAAATCTTCTATGGATTGATTAAACTGGCCTTCTAAATCCTCCTCTTTCTAATGGATGAAGCTATTTTTTCTGTGGTACTGTTTAAGCAATGAGCTGACATTAAAATGTGTTGTGACTAATTAGTTTACAAAAGATGCAATGCATTACTGAAAGTTATTGGCGTCCTATAACGACTATAATTTGCTGTCAGTTCTCGTTGTAATGACTTACTGAGTATGATTTGTATGGCTGATTTAGGAGTGTCAATTTTCTAGTTTAAATTGTACAAATTCAAAAACTTCAGCTCGAAAATCCATTTCTGGATTTTGTATCTTCTATTCATCTGTGCTTACCAACAAGCCCAGATTGAACTTAACAATCTTTGACTTTATCAGGTTCACTTCGTGACTCTAACGAAAAAATCTGTGTACTAAATTGTTTTCAGTGTGACAGCCCGTGCTGTATACACTATCAGGCATGAAGATTATTCAGACGGTTCTATGGATATACCAGTGAATGGACACAGAGTCGCCCTACATCCTTAGCTTGAAGAGACCAGGCTATACAGATGTGGAGAGAAATTTCATTTACCAGCACACACAACTATCTACATATAGGCGCAGAAAAGTGTTTACAAAAATGCTTTTAATAAAAACTAATAGTGCTTACTAAAAAGGGACATCAAACACCTGTAACAGTGTAAAATGAAGGTTGACTAGTGATAAACATCAGGTATCCAATTGAAATACTTTCAAGACAGATTTTAGGTGTCAAGATGAATACATTTCATTTCAACTATATACAAATTGAATATTAAAACGTTTGGCGAATCATTTTAAAAGTTACCGACATATTTAAATGAATATTCAGTTCACTTTGGAAAAGTAGAATAAAACTCCGAAAAATAATGCGATGTTCAAATCATAAAGGAATTGGGAATAATAAAATAATCAAAGCAGATATATTCTTGCATTTTAAGGAGAGGAATATTCCTAAGTCTAAACGTGAGTTTAGATACAAGTAGTTATGAAATAATCCAAACAAAATGAGAGAAGGGAATAATAATAAGTACTTCTTCTATAATTTGAACATCGTTTTCCTTTTCGGAATCTTATTCCACTCATCCAAAATAAACTGACTATTCATTAAAAGTATGTCCAAAATTACTGCACAGTGATTGCTCATACATTTTACTATTCAGGTTGTTTCCAAGTGATAAAAGCCCCAGGAGATGAAATATGTTCATCTTGCTTTGCAAAAGCTGTTCTGATTGCGTTTATCGAGTGTATAAAGCGAATTGTTTGCAATAAATGCCTTCAGCTAATACTAATGCTTTTGGATCCGGCGAACTCAACAAAGACGGTTCAAATCATGTTGTTAAAAATTACTTTGTACACAAAGGGGAAGAGACTTAGTTATACAGATGGTTGTCACCTCGGAGTATTTCAGTCTACTGTCCCAGAAAAGATGTCCACATCAGATTACCTTATAATGTAAAAATAAATACAAAAATTTAAAGACCGACTGGACTCTCTCATTCGTAAGACTTACTATGCAGCCTGGGTTATAATTATCAAAGAAGCAAGAAGCATACTCTTCTACAAGCCTGCTGAGCATTGCACGAGTGATTACGTCACAACTCGTATTGTATACTAATCTACATGTGTGTGGACACGGAGGAATAGTAGCACTTTGCATGTGAGGGTGGGAAAACACATCGAAGTAGC